CTCGAACCTGCAGAGATCCAGAGCCTTCGCTGAGTTGATTTGTCCTTGTGGTCGCATCGCATCACAATATGAGTCAGCCTCAATGCGAAGCCATATGGCAATGATCTCAGAAACCATTATATACTATATACATATATATATATATATCACTGTCTGACTTCTATAGTATATAGTGCTACTCTACATAATGCCGTTGCTGCTAAACAACCAGAACCAAGTCGAGGACGACACGGGCGAGGAGGACGACGACGAAGGAGGAGGAGGAGGACGACGACAACAAGTATTTTATCAAATCCAAGGACATGCACACAGAATCTCTTTTTTAATCAATGACGCCGAATAGAACGGTGACAGTGCTTGTCCAAGCTGATGCGGCGGACACCCCTTCGGGGTAGCCCCCGCCAAACGCGGAGGCCCCGGTGCTTGGACCACCCAAACCGAATACCTGGCAGAGTACCCAAGTGGGCTCCACTAGGGAGCCCACCAGAACGACGACGTCATCGTCACCTAGCTGCGGCAAATTCTTGTAGCATGTCCTGAAGTGTGAAATCAGGTTGAGCCGCCGCCGGTCCCTGAACTCCAGCCTCAGGCAACGCCTTCCGGACAGGTGGTACATGTCGAACCTGCAGGACGTGTGTAGGGCTGGTCGTTGGAAAAGTTAATGGGGGAAAGGGGGGGGGGCAAGTCGAGCAGCACACGTAGTACAAATATGTATAAAAGGCTAACAGCAAAAAATCTATCGCAGTCCTGATTCTGGTCTCCGGAAGCAACCTCGCGTGCGTCTGGAGCACCAATGTTGTAGCTGGCTGAGGTGTCGAAGGCTGCGACATCGCTGCCGCAAGGTTTCCCGAACTCTGGAAAAATTTGCTTGAGTGCATCCGCGGCTGAGCCTGCGGAGAATTGCAGCTCTTCCTTGGGTGCAGCTTGCTCTCCGAGGCGTGCCTTGCAGCGAGAATCCACGACCATGAAATTGCTGATAATCCTCCGCCCCAAACTCGGAAGACTCGAACCTGCAGAGATCCAGAGCCTCCTCTGAGTTGATTTGTCCTTGTGGTCGCATCGCATCACAATATGAGTCAGCCTCAATGCGAAGCCATATGTGGCAATGATCTCCGTGGAGAATTGCAGCTCTTCCTTGGGTGCAGCTTGCTCTCCGAGGCGTGCCTTGCAACGAGAATCCACGACCAAACTGCTGATAATCCTCCGCCAAATCCAGGCTGGCTAGTGTCCCCTAAATAGCTACCAATACTATTTGGGGTTCCTTATGATGAATACAATATAATGGGCCCCAAAGCCCTATTCTCATTATTAAGGCCCTTTATTAGAGGACTTGAAGTGTCTGCCCAGAGAGCCCAATACCCCTTAATTACGGAATATACCTTAAGTCCTAATAGCAAGGCCCCCTATAATTTAAGGTATATTCCTGATTTAAGGGGTATTGGGCTCTCTGGGTGTGATCCCCAGTCTGGTCTGGCAGGCTCCTGCATGGTCTGAAAGTTTGCTGCACCGACGGTGAACATGGTTTAGGGGTTTAGGGGTTTAAGAGTTTAGGGGTTTAGGGTTTAGAGTTTAGGGCTTTAGGGGTTTAGGGTTTAGAGTTTAGGGTTTCAGGGAAAAGGAAACCCAAAACCCGTCAGGGAGTTACGAGAGAAAGCTGGCTTCAAGACCCTGAAAGAAATTATAGCCTGAAAGAAATTATAGCTTCTTTTTTGAGAACCTGGTTCAATGCGAAGTGGGCGTTCGATAACCGTCGTAAGCGAACAAAATCTTATGGTGCGAAAGGAAGCTCCAATGGCGAACAGAACGTGGGGGGACTGGACGTCATGGAATTGGCATGCCACACCGCAACACGATCCCCGAAGTTCAGAATTCTACATCCTGGACCCATCCTTGAGGGTTTAGGGTTTAGGGTTTGGGGTTTAGGGCTTTAGGGTTTTAGGGCTTTAAGGGCTTAGGGTTTAGTGGTTTAGGGGTTTCAGGGTCCCAATTCCTAGACCCTGACATCTTAAACCCTTACCCTCTAAGGACTCATATTTTAAGGCTTTTGGGCCCAAAGACCCTATCATTTTAGGCTTTTGGGTTGTTTTGATGCTAAGGGAAAGCCTGAAACAACAAGTTGGGAAGTCGGCAGCCGGAGTTGCAAGGCTGCGGGGTGTGTGCAAAGTACGGCGGTACCTGACGGTTTAGCGTTTAGGGTTTAGGGCTTTAGGGCTTTAGGGGTTTAGGGTTTAGGGTTTAGGGGTTTAGGGTTTAGGGTTTAGGGTGGGGCTCTTCGGGTCTAAGGGTTTGCCCTGATGCAGGAGCCTTAAGAAGTAGAAGAAAGGGTTTGGGGTTCCTTTATACTACAGTTATCATAAGGCACCCTCTAAGGAATAATTCTTGGTAAGGAATAATATTGGTAACACTTGGTAACTATACTTAGGCTTCTGTATTGCCCTGAGACAAAGGTGCCGAACGCTTGAGGGTGGTGGCAACCTAAAATGGTCTTTGGGCGAGTAATGTAAGGGCGTCAATAATTAGAATAGGGTCTTGGGGTTCCTTATTATAGTTATGGTACCGTATACACCAAAACCCTATTCTAATTAGCAAGGCCCCTATATTACAGTACGTGCAAGACTTTTTCAACTTTAAGGCTTCGGTGTCAGGGTTTTGTACAGGGGTCCTGGGATTGTCGTCCGTGGCACCATGAGGTCAAAGGTTTAGAGTTTAGAGGCCGAGGGTTTGGGCAAGTTTGGTACCTTGTCCCCTTCTTTGGGGCAATCCTCAAAGTAGGGTCCCTTTTAGGGTCTCTCTTGAAAGGTGCCGTACTGAATGGGGACCTAAACAAGGACCCTAATTCAGAAAACAAGCCATAGACTCATCCTGCAGTATCACACAACAGAAAGGCACCGTGTACCCACGAGTACGGGGGGCGCGTTCCGAAAATGATGGGAATTCGGCTCTCCGAGACAGCCAAGACCGGATGAAACCGTAAACCCTAAACCCTAAACCCTAAACCCAAAACCCTAAACCCTAAACCCTAAACCCACAACCCTAAACCCAAAACCCTAAACCCAAAACCCTAAACCCCAAACCCGATACCGT